GACAAAGTACACTACTGAGGGGAGCAGCGGGCGGGTCAGGAGAGGTCTGCCAAGCCATGTGGATCTCCTCTGGGGCAGGCGGGAATTGAACTCATGCAGAAGTGGCTTAAGCTTTTTAGTGCAGTGCTTTAACCTGCTGCGCCACAGGGAGGGCCCTCCACATAGTATTAATTACAGTATTTTATTTTCTAAAACACCAGACGTATAGTGACTAAGCTAGCACCCCATTGGGCAGGGTTTGTGGGGGAGGAAGAAAAAGAAAGTTTAATTTATTGTACTAACATTTAATTGGCTAAGAAGAAGATGTTTCTGAGCCAATTGAATACTTTCCTCATTGACGGTTGCTGGGGGGAACCGAACTCATTTGGCAATAAGAGTAACCAGCTGTCAGCTGGGGGAAACCACCAGTTCTAAAAATGCCCAGAGAGAGGGAGAAAGGGGGTGGGGAAGCAACACGACTGAACAACTTACACAGAAATGAGGATGGAGCCAGGGCGCTGAAGTAGCCTAAGGGAGGGGAAGAAGCTGATTTAAAGCATCCCTCAGTCTTTGTAATCAGCCACCAGCCCAAAGTGCTTCCTGGAGGTTTCCATTACCTGGTTAGCTGGCTGGTCACCTCACTCCCTATCCCCTCACTCTGTTATCTAGTAATTTTTCTTTTTTAAGATTTATTTACTTATGCATACAGAACTGGGGTGCAGACTAGCGGTACGGGGGGGCAGTAAGAGGCTTCACCAGAGACAGAGTAGGGTACAGAACAGGCAGATCAATAAAGTACACTGTTGAGGGGAGCAGCAGGTGAGACAGGAGAAATCGGCTGTGTCATGTGGGTCATCTCCCCAACCTGGGATGGGCCTGTACTCAAGTGGCTTGGCTACCTTCATAGTGCTGTGTTTTAATCTGTTGGGCCTGTTCTGCTCCCCTCTCTGTCTCTGGTGAAGCCTCTCACCCTCCGCATCTCTGGCATGCACCCCAGTTCTGTATGAATAAATAAATAAATCTTAAAAAAAATAAAAGTGATTTAGCAGGATTCTTGTGAAGAGTGGGTAGGGGTCCCACCCAGGTTGAGGCCTATTTGAAAAGAGGACTCAGAGGAGCCTGTCTGAAGTTTGATTATAGACAGTCTTTGTCAATACCCATATAAAAATGAATGTTAATATATAAATATTAATAAGATTTTATTTAATTCATGAGGACCCCTGCAGGTGTTAATAACTGGTTCAAAAAAATCTAAAGAACAGACACATTTATAAATGAGGAATACAGACATGAATGGAAAAGGGAGGTCTTTTTGCTATGGATCAGTTACACAGAGTTGTAAAATATTACATCTGGGTATCTAAAGTATCTGTGGGATTTTTTTTTTTGAAGATTTATTTATTTATTTATACAGAGCTGGGGTACAGGCCAGAGGCTCGCGGAGGGTGAGAGGCTTCACCAGAGACAGAGTGGGGAGCAGAACAGGCAGATCAACGCAGCACACTGCTGAGGGGAGCAGCGGGTGGGTCAGGAGAGGTCTGCCTCGCCATGTGGATCTCCTCCAGGGCAGGTGGGGATAGAACTCATGCGGAAGTGGCTTTAGCTTCTTAGTGCAGTGCTTTAACCCGCTGCGCCACCAGGGAGGGCCGTATCTGTGGGATTTAACCAACCACAGATGGAAAATACAGACTATGTAGCTATGGCTGTATGTATACTGAACATTGTTGTGTCCCGGCTTCTGTGACCAGCCACAAGGAAGGCTTCTGTGACCAGCCACAAGGAAGGCGGGAGGCAGAAAGGCTGAGCAAGTAGAATTTATTGCTCCTGGGCAGCAGCTGAGATGGAGACCCTAGGGTGGGGTCTGCAGCTACTGCCAACTCAATAAGGGGGAAGGGTCTCTTATATAGGTCCTAAACTCAGATTTCAAAGGGGTGGGGGCATTATACTAATCTAGAGGTAATGTGAAGCATATGGGAGCATCTGCCTAAATTGTATGCAAATTCTAGACCTTTTCACATAAGGGATTTGAGCTTCCGG